CCACCGCCCGCACGGCTGCCCCGCGCTGCAGCTCCGCTCCGGGCTGCGCAGCGAGCACAACGAGCGCTCCATATCCCCCTGGAGATACCGGTACGCACAGAGGGAGGGAGGAACGGAGAGGGGAAAGGAGGGAGGAAAGGAGGGGGGAAAGGAAGGGGGCAGAAAAAAGAGGGAGGAAACGAGGAAGGGAGGGAAGGAGGGAGAAAGAAAAGGAGGGAAGAAAGGAGGGAGTGAAGAAGGGAGGAAAGGAGTGAAGAAAGGAGGAAAGGAGGGAGAAAGGAGGTATAAAAGGAGGGAGGAAAGGATGGAGGGAGAAAAGGAGGGAGAGAAGGAGGGAGAAAAGGAGGGAGGAAAGGAGGGAGAAAAGGAAGGAAGAAAAGAGGGAGAGAGGGAGAGAGGCAAGGAGGGATAAAAGGAGGGAAAATAGGGAGGAAAGGAAGGAGGGAGGAAACGAAGAAGGGAGGGAAAGAAGGATTACTGTGATTTTTATGGGAAAGTTCAGGCTGTCATTTAATAATCACAGAGGCTTTTCTTCCAGAGGTCAGCAGGCCAGAAGTTTAACTATAAAACATTGCTCAGAGGGCAATGACTACATTCATGGTCAGCTTAAAAGGAGGGAAAATAGGAGGGAGGAAAGGAAGGAGGGAGAAAAGAGGGAGGAAACGAAGAAGGGAAGGAAAGAGGGAGAAAAGGAGGGAGTAAGAAAAGGAGGGAGGAAAGGAGGGAGTGAAGAAATGAGGTATAAAAGGAGGGAGGAAAGGAGGGAGAAAAGGAGGGAAGAGGGAGGGAGGGAGTGCCCCACCGCGCTGTGGTGCCTCAGCTTGATCACACACTCCTCTCCTGCCCTTCCCAGGGCATCCCTGCTGGCTGAGCCCAACTGGGGTGACCTGGGGCAGTCCAGGAGGGTCTCACTGACCGTGTCCCCGCAGCATCGACGAGGACGAGGACCGGTACCCACGCAAACTGGCCTTTGCCGAGTGCCTGTGCAGCGGCTGCGTGGATGTCAAGACAGGGCGAGAGACGACATCCCTCAACTCTGTCACCATCCACCAGACGATGATGGTGCTGCGGCGCAAGCCCTGCCCGCGCCCCGCCGGGCTCGGCCTCGTCACCTTCGAGGTGGAGTACATCAAGGTGCCGGTGGGCTGCACCTGTGTCCTGCCCCGCACGGGGCGCTGAGCCCACGCAGCTCCCGTGGAGCACCGTAGCGTGACCGTGTCACCGCGTCCTCCTTGCCTGTGCTTGTTTTAGAGCACCACCCGCAGCCGGGTGTTCTCCACAGCCCCTCACCCAGTTATTTATCAGTTATTTATAAGCCTTCCTGCTGGGAGGGGGTTTGGAACCCGTATTTATTGCTGCCCCCCTCGGCCACGGCTGTGACTCGGGGTGCAGCATCACACCAAGGTGCTCGAGGACGTCCAGTGGGACCCTAACTCGCTGGTTATTTATTTCCCCTAAAAGCTATTTATTGTCTCCTCTCTCTGTGCTATTTAATGCTGCAAATAAAAGCCAATCCACCTCAGCACAGTCCTTGCTCTGTTCTCAGCAAATCTGGTCAGGATGTTGGGAATTGGGGTGCAGGGACAGGGCATATCCATGGATGTCCCTTGAGGACATATCTCAGCCCCAGCATGGTAGGCAAAGCACCAGTGCACCCAGTGAACCCATGGCAGGATGAACTGGGAGACAACGGAGAGGGTGGCAGGGCACAGGGGTGCCCCACCCCCCCAGCCCCGGGGGGGGCCCAGCCCCAGCACCCACAGCACCCCAACACCCACACCTTTCCCATGGCTCTGCCCCGGGCACCCACATCCCACGGGCCTGGCACCACCTGCCAGGGCCACCCCACCTGTCCTGCCAGCACCTAGGGGGGCCCTGGGGTACCTGAACACCCCGAGGGACTGGGGGCTGTGTGGGGAGGGGGCAGAGTGGGGTCTCGAACAGCTGCTGATGCCCAACAGGGTCAAGGATTTGACACATGGCACTTGGGCAACTTCCAGCACACAGGAGTGGAACTGGGGAGGGAAATGCTCCCCACATTCCCTGCTGGGAGGTTACCCCAGGATTTGGGGGGGTCTTCTGGGACTCACTGTGTAGCTGCAGTACAGGATGCCCCACAATTTCACGCCAGTGTTGAGTCCAGAAGGAATTTGCAAGGGGACCCTGAGTGACCACATTATATATACCCCCACTCTAGGTTTGCCCATAATCACAGTGTTTGTCCTCACAGCACACCCCAGTCCAGCCCCAGCCCCCCAGGAGTGGCAGACACCCCCTCCCCACCAGAGCAGGAGACTCCCCCTGGAGCAGGAGGCAAGGGCAGCCTTTCCCACTTTTTATTGCAACAGCAACTGCAGAAGTGATAAAAACCAGGGAGAGCTGGTGCTGGGAGCAGAGCTGCCTGACCCTCCCAGGGCTGGGGAGTCTTGGGGATACCCCTGGGGAGAAGGGGAGACCCTGAGAGCTGGTGTTCCACAGGGATTTGGGGATCCCCCAGGGAACCAGGGGCTGCTTAGAGTTGGGGCACCCTCAGGGAGCTGAGTATCCTTGGGGATCCCCAGGAGTTGGGGAGCTGCTGGGGACTGGAGACACCCCTGAGAAGCTGAGCATTCCCAAGGATTTGGGGATCCCTGAAAATTTTGGAGCCTCTGGAAGCTGGAGATCCCATAGGAAGCTGAGCATCTCCAAGAATCTGGGGATCTTAAGAATTTGAGGAGACCATGCATGGAGGTACATCTCACTGGGGACTTGGGGATCCTCTGGAAGTTGGAGAACCCCTGAGGATCTGGGCATCCATCAGAGAACCTACGGGGAACTGATGATCCCCAGGGACTTGGACATCCCTTGGAGCTGGAGTTACCCCACAAGGAGCTGAGCACCCCTGGGGTGTTGGTGATCCCCAGGAGCTGAGCACCCTGTTTTCCCCAGTGGATCCAGGGAGCAGCTGGGAAGCAGGAGCAGGAGCAGCACAGCATGGCAGGAGGGTCCCCCACATTACTCAGCCTCCACAGGGATGGGGTTCACCTGCCCCCCCACCTCTGCTGGCTGCTTCCTGCGGGCGTCGGCGGGGGG